TCCACAGGGCTCACTGGCACCAGCCTACCATACTTGGTAGGTTTCAGGCCAGTAAAAGACTCTATCTCAAAACAAACACTTTTTAAAAGGGATAAACAGTTTAGAAAATAAATAAATCAAGAGGGCAGAGCCTGAGGTTATAATAATACCCATGCTTGTTCTCTGGCCTCTGCACGCACGTGCCCACACAAACACACAGAATGTTACATGACTCATCCAGGTTGCCTTATTCCCGTTCTGAGCTTGTGGCACGGCTGACGACAGTAGAGGAACCCTGGAGATATTTTGTTCTTTTCAGAACATTCAAGAAGCATTTCTGTGCCAGAAACTAAATTTAGATGATGGAGAAGGGGTGAAAGAGGGATGAATCAGGCTGGGTCTGTGCCCTCCAAGTCTTCACAGCCTAGTAAAGGCATGATGTACATCCTGGTTCTCGGAGTGGGGGCTGAGGGGACCTCTTCCTCCTTTGGAGAACTCTGGTAACAGCTGGAGACATGTTTGATTATCAGAACTGGAGGGGGTTAGTGCTATTGGCACCTACAGGGTGAAGCCAGCCATGCGATAAAGCGAGACACAGACTCCCAACAACAGAGAATTATCCAGTCCTAAAGTCAATATTGTGAGGCCAAGAAACCCTGTACTAGTGGCATTAGCTAGAATAGAGGACTTATTGACCGCCAGCTTAATGGATTGATTGGTTGGTGGTGAATCACATGGTAAATGACTTTCACCCTAAAACCCTAGTGACTTTGAATTTTTAACTATAACCCACAACATCTGTTGTGTGTCTTTTGAACACATGGGTGCTCGAACCAGCAAGAGTTAAAGCAAGAGTTAAGGAGTCACCGGGCAAAATAAGTGGTAATTTAGACTGAGCTGTTAAGAAGATGAAATTTGGGATGGGGATGGAGATGGGGCTTAAGGCAGAGCGTTCACCCAGCATACTTTAGATTTAATCTCCAGCATGAGAGGGGTTAAGGACACAGAGGAACAAAATTTTTCTAGATGATGTAGTGGCACTAAATGTTAATTCAGTGAAAATGAACTGGGCATAGCCACACAACTTAGCAACACTCATTTGCCTACAGTCAAAAGAAGAGCTTTATTAAAACAATCCTGGTGGTGGCATCTTGGAAATTGCTCATTGTAGGATGGAATTACATGCCATGAAGGTGTTTTTAGATTAGCATTCAGAATGTCCCACGCTTCAGATGAGTCTGTTTCTTAAAGCACTGATCTTGAGATTATCTGTAGGGGGATGGGAACACAGGCCCTGCACCTCGTCTCATGGAGTGCCATGAGTGGGCAAGAAGTGACCTCTCCCACTCCAAACCCTTGCCACCTGACAGGCAGGAGGTCATGAGATTAAAAGTGTTGTTCCTGCCCCTTGCCAGCTGCAGCATTGGGTAAACTAGCCGGGGACAGGCTGGAGAGCTCACCCTGGTGGTGTGGGTACAGAGCTGGTGGGCTGACCAGCTCAGCTGTCACCCAGGCCCAGATCCCTGGCTTTGAGTTGTCCCACCTCAACACCTATCCCATCTGTGAACTGCTGGAGTGAGTGAAGGGGCTGGTCCTGCAGATCCAAAACTGCAGCATCTCCATGACACAGGGGAACAACAGGACATCTGAGAGGAGTCTTGGTGAGAATCCAGTATTGTAGCAGAAGCCAGAGGCCTCGAACCAGACCAATGACTCATTGCAATGACCATTTGTGGGTAAAAAAGTGTAGACAAAAGGATATACTGTGTGACATATTGTAACACACTACAGCTTCCATGATGAGATGTTTTTCTTTGGTATTTTTCTTTTTGTTTTTCTTTCTTTCTTTTTTTTGTGGGGAGTCGCAAAGGCAGAGGGTAGATACGAAGGGTCAGGGGCATGAGTGCGAGTGGGGTGCATGCTGTGAAATTATAGAGACTTGATAAAAAGGTTTTAAAGGGTGGGATTATTATTCGATGAATTTAAAAGAACAAGGGAGTAGGATTTTGAAGTGGGGCCTTATCATTTTATGTATGCTGTGACTGCTGTTCCTCATGCACAGTAACAAATAAAGCAGAGCACTAGTTGTGTAGTATGCACCAACTGTATTCACTTTGTTTGTATAGTATGCACCAGGTGTATTCACTTTGTTTACTAGCTTCACGTAAGGTCACGAAGGACAGAGACGACCTAAAAGAACAAGAACTCTCCCTTCATTTCTTCTCTCCATTCTCTCTCCCTTCTTTCTGTTCTCCCCTCTCTTCCATTCCTCCTGTTTCTTTTTCAAATTATTATTTTTTCTAATTTTGTGTATTTATTATGCATGTATGGATGTTTTACCTGCACATACATCTATATATCACATAGAGAGGTTAGATACCCTAGGAGTAGACGTGCAGGTGACTGCAAGCCACCACATAGGTTCTGAGAATTGAACCCAGGTCCTTTGGAAAAGCAGCCAGTATTCTTAACTGCTGGATCACCTCTCCAGCTTCTCCTTTTAAAATTAAACTTAAATCATTTTGAGTTTTGTTTTGTTTTGTTTTATTTTTCAAGACAAAATTTCTGCGTAGCAGCCCTGGTTGTTCTGGAACTCACTTTGTAGACCAGGCTAGTCTCAAACTCACAGAGATCTCCTTGCCTTTCCTCCCTGAATACTGGGATTAAAGGCATGCACCACCACACCAGGCTTATTTCAGGCTTATTGCCACAGAGTCTCACACTGTAGCGTTTTTTTCTGGAACTATGTAGCCCAGGCTGGCCTATAACATATGGCAGAACTCCTACCTCACCCTCCCAAGTGCTGAATTACAGACTTGTGCTGCCATGTCAAAAAGAGATTTAGTTTGGCTCATGGTTTTGGAGGACTTCAGGCTATTGTGGAAGGGAGGGTACAGAAGAGGATTTAGGTTTGTGGCAACAGGAGCATCTAGAAGAGATAATTCACATCTGTTGCTAGGAAACAAAGAACATGATAAAACTAGGGACCAGGCTGTAACTTTCAAAGGCTCACTCCAAAAGGCCTACTTCCAGGAGCTAAGCCTCTTTCCTAATGGTTCTACAACTTTAATAGTGCCACTAGTTAAGAGACATGCAGATGATGAGCCCGTGTGTGTGTGTGTGTGTGTGTGTGTGTGCATGTGTGTGTATTGGGGGGGGTGTTCAGATTCAAACTACAACACAAGTATCACTAAAAAGAGAATAGTTATATATCAGTTTTAGTTTGGTATTAATTAAAAATGAAACTATACTGCTAATTCTAAACATCAATGAAAACACAATTTACTAATATTATTTAATACATCTTTTTCAGGGAAATGGGTGAGGTGGTCTCATATTTTGATGTCAGTGAAATAAACAGCCATTGTTGTTCAAAAATCTATAACTTTGATGAAGCAATTACCTTCACCATGCTCTGTGGGTTACCCGGGAGTTACTGGCGTTCTTCTTCAGCCTATCTGACCTGTATGCAGGTTGATGAGTAAGCCAGGAAATGGCTTATGACTGTGTCATACTCATCAAATGTGACTGGAGAACTGCCACACAAATACCTGGAAAAAATCTGCCATTTGGGTTAGCAGCAATGTTCTCCGACTCTAACACGCAGTGTGGAGACCACAGGGTTCTTGGGTTTTGTAATATGAAGAAGCAAAGCTTGGGAATTTTCCAGTCAAATTTTTGCCTAATGCGGATTTAGTAAGGCATACTTAGGAGCAGAGACAGAGTGTTCTCTTTGCTTCTCATAAAGGAATAAATTAGTAAAATCACTTCAGCTCTACACAACAAAAACAAGCTTATGGGGGGGCGCCTTAATAAATAAATGGGATTTAAAAAACGAAGCACATTTTAAACACCAAAATGTTTGAAGTTTAAAAGAATACAAGCTGGGCTGGGGTAGCTCACTGGGAGAGTTTGCCTAGAGAAGCCCTAGGTTAGGAGCAGCACTCCAAAAAAGTGAACCGGACTTGGGAAATCACCTAGGATTCTCTGCAAAGTGCTATGACTGGGAGGTGGTTCAGCTGGCGACCATGAGGGTTGGAGTTCAGCTCCCTAGCACAAACACAAAGCTGGGTGTGGCAGCGTGTGCCTGTAATCCCAGGGTTGGGGACATGGAGACTTTCTGGCCAGCCAGTCCAAGTGGATCAGTGAGTTCCAGGTTCAGTGGGAGAGCATGTCCCAAAAGTTAGAGAACAACTGATGAAGGGACCCAAGGAAAACCTCTGAATTCCACACGCACGTGCACACACACACACACACACACACACTCAACACACAATGTAAATCAAGTAAATTAATAAATAAGCTTTTATTTCTACATCTGACATGACACAGAAATGTGGTTCCCCTAGTATTCGCAATGGTTATCTTTTTAAAAATGGAAATAAGAGAGTTTATTTTAGAGCCATTTTGAGTAACTATGGCCTGGGAAACAGATTTAGGTAACCTCAAATTCCATGTTCCTATGTGGAAGCAGTTTCACAAAGTTTTTATAGTTTTACAGAAAGTCATAAGTCAAGGCAAGTTTAAAATACATTGGTGGGCAAACCAGAGACATGGGTACAGTAAGACGAGGGAAGGTTTTCATGTGTACAGGATGCTCCCTGATGACATTCCTAGCTTTGGGATTGGTGGAAGGTAATGGCCTGCAAAATTAACAGGTCTCAGAAGGTTCTATCTATTAAGTCACAGGACATTAGTTCTACCAGAGGTGGGCAAGGAATAGCTGCTCCGGAGGGCGGGAAGTAGCTGGAGAAAAGGTGATCCGTCTCTGGACCTGCACTCAATGGCTCCCTTTAGGTGGTGGAATAGAGAAGGGTTTCTTATTTTCTCTGTGCTCTCTAACGTATGAATCTCTTTACAAGTCCTTAAATAATGACCACCTAAGATCCTCTCAGTTCTACTTACCTAGCCAACATCTCAGTCCAGCCTTTTCTCTTCTTAACTCATCACCCAAATCTACTTCTCAAAAACCCATTGGCACTTCCATGACTGTGGCTCATTTTACAGGAATCTCCTAGGGAGCAAAGTGAAAGGGTGGGGTAGAGGGTGGGGCGTCTGGCTGTGTTCTCAGGGCACTTGACTTCCAGGGCCTTTTTCTTCTGCTATCTGCATTTTTTGTGTGTCCATAACGAGTGGTTTGAAAATGCTGCTGAACGTCCCACATTCTTCTCCAAGGAGGATTTAGTATTTAGGAAACTTGGAGACACGCGGCTCAACTTAAGTAGTTGTTGTAAACACTGGACTATCGTTTAAGGGCGGGTACCCGCATGAAATAATCTCAGGATTTCTTTTGTGGTGTGGTGTGTTAGAGGAATAAAAAGATGATCTAGGAAGACATCTGGACAAGATGTGGATACTCAGGCTTATAAGTATAGCTCACAAATTTGCCCTTATTGTATGGACCAATGAAAGTGTTCTTAAGCCAAGTGACTCAGCTTCCTTACTTTCCTCAGGGACCCTACAGGGTTATACTTCATTGAGACTGGGTCCTGGGGAGTAACAGGATCGTCCTCCTCCTCTTCTTCCTCTTCCTCATCTTCTTCCTCTTTCTCCCCCTCTCCCTCCTCTTCTTCCCCTCTCTTTTCTCACTGAATTTACAGTGCTACATGTGCTCTGATGGTCCACCTAAAGGAAGTGAGGATGAAAAATAGGATGTGTGTTTGTCATGGGAAAGAGATGTCAAAGTCGAGCTGCATGACTAGTGGGTATGTTCTAGAAGACAGACAACCATGAGAAGGACACTTGTGTTCACCTCTTGTGTTTATCTTCAGATTCTGGGCTCTGAACTCAGCATGCTCTCCTTATGGTGCTGATGGTTCATGCTGGAAGGACAGGAGTCTCTACTGGCCACCATCCTCATTTTGTGCAGAATCGGAGGCTTCTGTGACAGTGCCAGCTCTGAGAATTGAACAGAGGAGGAGAGGTGGGTGGAAAAGTACTTTGTAGGTAATGTGGAGCTGTCCAGCAGTGAAGGAGCTGCATCAGTGAAGTCCCAGTGAATCACACTGAGTGTGGCAGCTGGGAACAAGGCTTCAGTGAGGGCATTCCTAATAATAGGGTGAGTGTGTATGCCTGCATGGATACTACTGTTTCCTCTGGCCTTAGGTAGGTTTCAGCAATCCTTCGCCTTAAAATATGAAATGAAAAGTTCTAGAAATGAGAAATTTGTAAATTTTAAATTGCATGTCATTCTGGGAAGTATGATGAAAGTTCATGGCCTTCCCTGCTGAGATATGTATTATCCCTTTGCCCAGTGTATCCTCATTGTAAGTCGATCATGAGCCACTCAGAAGCCATCTTGTTTACCGTGTTTACTTGCCATGAGATCACAGTGAGTCCTCCAAGTAACTTCTATGTGACTTACGAATGGCTTAAGGATATGCTTTAAGTGAAGAGGTGAACTTTCTTAACTCTCTAAGCAAAAAGTAGATGCTGAGGTTTCTGAGACCTACAGAAAAACAAAACAAAACAAAACAAAACAAAACAAACAAACAAACAAACACCCTCAAATCTTCTACCTACAAAATGTTGGGGGGGGGGAAGAAATCTGTGTGTCCTAGCTTTGCTATCAATCCCAAACTGCAGAAGTTATGGCTATTGCATACAATAAGTTATGATGGAAAAGAAATTGAGTAATGGATCTTGGTACTGTCTATGGTTTCAGACATCTACTGTTTACTAGAGCATATTCTGTGTATGAGAGCAGTGCTGTACCAAACATACTGTGTGTCTTCACTCAACCCACCCCAAAGCAAGGAGAGAGAGAGAGAGAGAGAGAGAGAGAGAGAGAGAGAGAGAGAGAGAGAGAGAGAGGAATGTGCAGGGAAAGAGAAAAGGAGACTTGAACATGACCAAAGGCAAAGACAGGATTATTCTACACACACACACACACACACACACACACAATCTGTAAGTGTGCTTTGTAAATGCGTTGTGCTTCAGTATTTATGTTGTGCAATCAGAAACAGTCACTTTAAGTACATCATTTTTTGAGAAAAAAGTAGCTAGTCAAAGCCTTCCCCAAGTGTATAATTTAAAAATTTAAAAATGAAGTATATGGGTCCTGTAAGACTCTCCTAGTTATTCCCCTTTCTAAGTGGCAGGTCCATTTCTTTCTGTGCATGCATACGTACCTGATAAAATCTAATAATATATTGTACAATTTATTTTTTTTTATTAAATGACTTGGGCCTAGCTATATGTGTCTCTTTCTTTTCCCAATGGAAAACCAAAATGACTGTAAATATCCTAGAGTTGGGAACAGGCAAGAAATCAGGGGTATTTCTTGTCTAGCTTTCATATCCCATGCAATTAAATATTATTCAAATTTTATAGGGATATTTAATTGATGGTAGAAAGGGAAGTTATTCTTTTGTGATTTTTAAATACTTTGAAAAACTATAAGCAAATAAATATTTTTTATTTCAAAATGGAAAATTCATTGCAGAAAATTTGGGAAGTAAAAAAAAAATGAGTACATCTCAAAATAAAAGCTTTACACAATCTTATTTCAGGCGCAATATTTTTTTTAAATTAAAAAAAATAGCACAGTAAAAATAATTTTTGGTCCAAACTGAAAATCATTGCCTACATTGATTTACTCTTCCAGTCCAGAGACCCAGGGTCTTGTGTATGTGGCCAAACTACTAAGCAACCTCCCGGTCTGTTGACATATCTGAATCATTTCCCTTAGCATCCTCTCCTCTTTGGGCCCTGTGGACAATAAGTTATCAGTGGCAGGCTAGATCCAGCCATAAGGTTGTAGACAATCCCTCAACTTCCTTTTTATAACTAGAGACCCAAGAAATCATGAAGGGGAACATGATATCACAGAATAACTTTATTTTTGTGAACTAACACTGAAGGTTCCCCACTTTGGACAGCTGTTGTCAGTCACACGCTACCCAGAACAAAACCCTACAAAAGAAGAAGTTAACTCTAGCCTTGAAAAATCCTTTTATCCTTCATGATTCTCATGCCTTTAAATTTTGTCACCTGAATGTGATATTAACATAATCGTCTGCATTTTCTGCTAATGAATGCACCTGTTTCTAAGACTTTATTTTAGCAGTTTTAATGAGCTCTTCAAAGGAGTTCGCCTGGACTTACCGCACCGCTAGGGGAAAAAAGCAGCTGTAAGCAACTAACGCTGCATTCAGAATTCGAGTCAGGGCTCTGTGAAGTTGCTAAAGTCGAGAAGGAGTATCTACCCATCTGTCTGCAGGGAAGAAAGGAAGCTGAGCTGTACCTACAGCAACTGGGAAAAGCTCTAGTGAAAGTGGCCTGGCCATGGAAGCCTCTTCATTGCTTGGCAAGAAGGTATGGGTCTCAGGCAATTCTCTAAATCTCCATTTTCTTATCTGTATATGGTGTCTACTTGTCAGGGTCACATGCCTTGTGTTGTAAGCACTCAATAATGTTAGGTTTCCCTATAACCATAATGTTTATTCTTAAAGAGATGTGATTTAGCAAAGGGCCACATATGGTTGGAATTCACTTATGTAAAATATCCAGACTGGGAACCACAGAGAAAGCAAATTGGCAGTGGCCAGGTTCCGGAAGGAGGGAGCCAGCATCAGGCAGTAACTGCTTAATGGATGCAAGGCTTCCCTTTGGGAGTGATAAAAATGTTTGGGAACTGGATACAAGGGGAAATTGTGCAATGTCACAAAGACACTATAGTTTTCTGCATTGTTGCCTTTAAAATAGTGGGTTTTGTATGTGAATTTCACCTGAAGCATAAGACAAAAGCACTCCTTTAAGTAAATAATAATAATAATAATAATAATAATAATAAATGGGACTTTAAATGGATCAAGCAAATTGTTTGATTGACTGCAGGGCCTAAGAGAATTCTTAGGTGAATAATGACTCATCAAACTTCACGTTAAGGAAGGCAAGCTGCTCTCCTCTACAGAGCTAGGAGGATGTCCTTTCAGTGCTGAATCATACCTCGCATCAGGGAGGAAGTATCTCAGGAAGACGTTACCAACCACTCGGCAGATGTTCAAATCCCTATGCAATCCTGAAAGTCACGGAGATTTTTAATCTACTATGTAGGTGCCATCACAGCAGGACAGAGATGCAACACTCCATGTAATCAAGTCTGTCTCACAATTACTCCATTTGCATTGACTGTCATCTCCCCTGGCTTGCCTTCTGCATGATCCTCTGTGTATGGACTAATAAACTACCCCAAGCCTAACTGAATAGAAAGTCAAAACTAGGTCAAGTGTTGCTTTAAAATATGCACGGAACAGGCACACGACAGATCACGAGGTGGCAGCATCTTAGGGTAATAATGCTATCCCCACCCCCTTTTCCTTCTCTCCCTCTCCTCTCCTCTGTCCAGCAGGTGAGACAGCTGTTAGGAAAATCTCCAATTCCCTTTAAAATTTTACCTCACTAATACTGAACATGAGTGGCAGTAGCTGCCTCTCAGGGCTCTTCTCTTCAGAGAATGCTGGGTAACAGTCAGTGTTAGGGACTGGTTCACCAGCCATTCACACACACACTCCTCAGTGCTGCAGAATACATTCAGGAACCAGACTCAGCTAAGGAATCATCACCAGCTAAACATGGGTTTCTCTGGAAAGGTCCTGATTTCTAGAATTCTCCAAGTCAAGCCTGGCTGGCAATGCTGTGCCCCCGCTACATTCTAAAAGAGTCTCTTTATCCAGACTGACATGGAACATCTCTGCAGAGGACTTTGAGTTCCATTCTGAGACCTCAACTTTGTAACCTGAGCTCCCCTCCAGCCACCCTCTGGCAGTGTTCAGCCAGCAGGGCACTGGCTGCATGCTGACGAAGGTCTTGCTATGCCGCACACCGTGGTCCTCAGAAAGGGCAGCATCAGCACCACCTGGATGGTCAGCATTAATTGGCAATGGAGCCTAGGTCCCACCTTCAATCTACAGCATCAGAGCCTGCAGCTTAAGCTCAGCTTCAGGAAAGCATCAGTCTAAGGGGTCATCTGCTTGAGGTTGCTTTTGCTGGCAACATGACTCACCATGTCAGGCTCCCAAGTTGTATCCGTGCATTTTTTCCATTTCAAGGTTCTACACAGATTTCCCTGCAGTGTTCCTGGGCAAGTGAGCTCTACCTTGGATGAGTTCCCACCCAGCGGGCCTCAGGATGATGGTTCTCTGAGTGGTCACACGGTTATATAGTACAGCCTCCTGCTAAACAAGCTATGCCCACCCCCTGGGTCACCCTGCCCTCCTGTTCCCACAGTTCTAGTGGTACCATGTTCATAAATTGTTGTTAAAGAAGGAAATTACCAGAAAGAAAAAAAATAAATGTCTATAAACCTGCATAGTTTAGAGCTAAAGAATATGTTAAAATTTTCCATTGTGGAAATTTCCCAGCTACTGGGCTCTTTAGATTTTTTTTTTTTTTCAGAGCTGCAAGCAAAGAATGGAAATTTCCAAACGCAGCATCGAGAGCTGCTGTTCTGCTGACTGTCTGGCTCAGCCAGGGTCATCTGCTTCTCTAAGACATCAAGGAATGCCAAGGTAGGTCTGAGAGAACACACAGGCTTCCTCTGCAGGCAGGAAGGAAGATCTTTACGCTGCCTAAGAGTTGGGAGGAGAGGAGGGGCAGCAGAGGTGACATCCCCTGTTCCCTCCCCTGAACAGGAAGTTATCCCACTTGACTTCTTTCCAGGGGCAGCTGGCTGGCAGGATTTGTGTTTTTTAAAGGCATTCCTAAGGTGGGTGGGAGATACTGAAACATGAAAGAAAGAAATCTTTCTTGGAGTCTAATTTAGAAAAGGCTACCTGGTGGATATATCATTCAATCATGTGACCTGCCCAAGTAAATCTCCCCCCTCTCTCCCCCCTCTCTCTCTGTGTCTGTGTCTCATGTAGCCCAGGCTGGCCTTGACCTTCTGACCCTCCTTCCTCCACTCTCCCAAATGCTGGAATTAAAGGCGTGTGCCATCATGCCCAGCATTAATTTTGAGTTTAGAATCTTCACGCTGTACCTCAGGAGACAGCTAAATCTCCCCATCCCCCATAAACCAAACCATCCACAAGTATCCCAGCAGGTTCTGTCCCCACCTCGGCAATAATATCAACAGGCCTGTTCCTTTCCACTGCAGCTACGTAAAAATACACTCCCGTTCACAGCTGGTCCTGCCGCCTGAGTCAACAGGCATCTAATAGTTCCCTAAGATCTGGCATGTTCCTTCCACCCACGGATGCTGTTCCTACAGAAGTCTTAACAGCAGCAAGTCCATGGAAGTTGGTGTCAGGGCGTCAGCTTCCTGCAGACACTGAAGGACACCAAGTGGCTTTGGAACAGAAGGAATATTTTCAAACCATGTGGTTTTTGTCTGACTGAAAGTTTTGTTCCTGTTTGTCACCTTCTAGGCTGTTCTTAATAAATAGGTGCTATCTATGAGTTCTGTGATCTGCCATCCCATGGTACCAAGGAAAGGACTGCAAAAGGAAGGGTCTTTGACATCCTTGTTCTTTATACTAAGCATTCGTTATGGAAACAAGTTTGATAACAGTGAAGAATTTCTGGCAAGAAGCTTTAAAAAAAAATCACACATTGGCTCCTGACTATAAACCCAACACTTGGACTGCCACAGGTTCTGGGCCAACTAGGTCTACAGGGTGGGACCCTATTGAAGAGGAACATGGGTAAAGGAGGTGGCTCAGTTGGAGAAATGCTTGCTGTACAGGCATCAGGACCTGAGACAGGATGCTAGGTATCCTTGTAAAGTCAGGCATGCATCTTCAATCCCAGTGGTAGGGAGGCAGAGAAGGGAGGATCCCTGGGGATGACGGCCAGCCAGTCTAGCCAAACTGATGAGTTCAGGATCAGAGACATTTTTGTCTCAAAAAATGGAGTGGAAAGTGGTTGTGGAAGACTTTCCATGTTTACCTCTGACCTCCTCACACATGCAGTCCGAGAACACACACACACATAAACACACACATACACACACACACACACACACACACACACACACACACACACAAGAAAGAGAGAGAGCATTAATGGGGGTAAAAGCCAGCAAATAGCTAGTGAGTAAAGGAGCTTTCTCCTATCTGTCAGTTCAGTCCCATCTATACAGAGAGTCATCAGTGGACAATTCTAATGTCACCCAGTAACAGCAGTGGGGCACAGAGTGATGAGCAAGAGTATTTTGTGTAGGTTTCTTTAGACATTAGTCCCAAAGGATGTTCAGTTCAGTCACTGATTGCATCTGGAATAATGATTTGCTTTACATCTTTAATGGGTTAAAATTGAGCCTGGTTCCCTAGTGAAATTCATCAGGTAGGGATGGGAATGTGGGTCTGGGCCTCATACGATGAGCCCTATTCTCCTCCCCCTCTGTGTCTGTCATGTGCTAGAGGATAATGGTCCCCTCAGTTGAAGAGACCGATGACTCATAGCTGTGGGTGGGGTTGAACAGACAGGTATGATGAATACATCTTTCTCCCGTGAGACCCAGAGACGACTTTTAAAAATCCGTGGTTGGGATGCTCGCTCCTCTAGAGCATGATCGATTGCTTGGGATTTCAAACACGGCCAGGTTCTGTCCCTCCAGTCTCCCTGCTGTCTGCAGAGTCACTTTGCAATGGCTCTGATCAAGAACTGGGGCTGAATTCTGGACCCTTCCAAGCCAGGTTAGTTTTCTGCCTCTCTCTGGCTCTGGCTACCAGAATGGACCAGGAGTAACTGTGCTGGGTCCAAGCTGAGCCTCAAGTGCCTACTTCACTATCTCTCTCAAACCTGCCCCTGCTGGCTGAGCATAGGCTAACCTGTAGGAGAATGAGCGAATGTGTACAGAGGGCTGAACTATCCCAGAGGATGGAATCCTAGGCCAGGGCAGTGCACTGGGGCTGACCCTTAGGCCAGGGTTTGCTGACCTTTTATCTAAAGCAATGTGTTACCCACAGAATAGTTGGAACCTTTTCCAGGATCCTAGCAGCTCCACTCAGCTTCATCTGTAATTCTGGAGGAAAAGGGGAGACAACTGGGTTTACTTCCAGTAGAAGAAGATAAGAAGAGTCTGAGGATGTGGCTTAGTAGATAGAATGCTTGCCCTAGTATACACAAAGCCCAAGACTGGAACCCCATGACCACATAAAACTGGATATGCTGGCATAGGCCTGTAATCTCAGCACTTTGGAGGCAGAAGCAGGAAGATCAGAAGTCAAGGTTATCTTTGGTTATATAGGGAATAAGAGACCAGCCTGGGCTACATAAAATCCTATCTTAATTTTGGAAAAAAGGCAAAAAAGGAAATTAAAAATGAGTGGTTGATGCAGATCAGAGACTGCACTGAGCATGTATACAGGGAACAATTAAAAGCCTCTTAGCCACTTCCTCCTCCACAGTTGTTCGGTTAATGCTACAGGCCCGAATGATCAAGCAATGTTACATTTCCCAGCCTCCAATCTCTAATACTAATTTAACAAATGCACCCTGTATGTCTCAGTAAGGATGGGGCGCCACTCGTACTTTGCCTGCTTGGAGTTCCCCGAGTGTATTGTGCTGTTTCACGCCTCCCTAACTCTGCACACAATGTTCCTTCTGCCTGGAACACTCTTAGCCCTCTTCTCTTACTGGCTAACGCCTACTCACTGATCAGAGCCGAGCTCAAGGATACTGCCTCTTGGAAGACTACCCCAGGAGCACCTCCACCTCCTCGCTCCCAACCTCCGGCCACACGCTCAGTCTCAGCACTCATTTTGCCAGCCTAACAATTAAAGCGGAAAAAAACGTTTCTATGGCGCTAGGCACTTACTGTGTGCCGACACTGTCTTATAGAATCATCTGGTTGAAAATGTCCACATCCCTGTGTCACGTTGTTGTTCCTCAAGGCAAGTGTACATTCAGAAGTACATGCTGTGAGTTCCTCCCACCTGTTGAGCAAACAAGATGCATGGTGATTTATCATAAAAACTGTATACCCACAGAGGGCACCTACTGCCATCTTCTCATTCTTGCCGTACCCGGAACAGACTCAGAACAGGCAGCAGATGAACGGAAGCAAAGAGCAAACACGAACACAGCCCAGAACACTTCGTACGCAGTGTTCACAGCTCTCCATGGGGCCAAAACTGGTCAGGAACTTTCTGAGATAGCTCTTATAATTATCATGGTGCCACGTATCAGGAATGGAAGGCGTCAAGAATTTTCTCTGGTAACTTTCCCAAGGTTGCCCAGCTAGTGTGCGATAGAGCTAGTTCCAGAGGCTGTGTTTATAACCACAGGAGGAAAGGAAGGCTGCAGTGACTCAGCAGAAATGCATTTCCATCCTCAAAGAGGAAGTCAAAGAATGAAACTCTGAAGATAGGAGTGGTCCAATGGGCGTGGCTACATACTTGGGCGTAATTGTCTACAGGCTTGCATCACATGGGCACGTAGGTGTTCAGTGTAGAGAGGTGGGTGGTTCTGATGGGACCTCCAATGGTTTTTCTGTTATCATGTTTACACAGCATGATGCCGAGCAGCCCACATACTGCAACAGGATGCTGTTTAAGGCCTACCTGACAGCAGGCAAGACCTTATGGCATAAACCCTAGGCAGGCTTACTCCAACTGACACTTTACCAACAAGCATTTAAAAGACAATCTTGGAACTGTCTCTGAGGCTGCTGAACCTGGCACAATGGCCAGCTGCTCACTGAAGCTTTGGCAGTGCCCACAGGGCCTCCTAGGCAGTGTACCTCTCAGTGAGACAGTCAAAATCAGGGACACACAGTGACTGGACCACAGCTGTCTCAGCACAGGACTGAGCTGCTGAAAAGACAAAAAGAGATACTTGGAATAGAATTTTGCTTCTGGGACAAATAAGAGCTTGGAAAAACGTTAGGTCTGAACACTGGGACATAAGAACGTGAAAATGACCAGTTCCTGCAGACCCTCCGTGTCCATAATCCCTTTCAATCCCAAATAAACAGGTCCATTCTCTGCTTCTTAGACATACTCAATCTGTGTTCTATAGGTTATATGCATCCAAGACAGCTACGAATGTGTCCTACAACATTGTAGATGCTGTTGCTGATGTTGCAATGTCAAGAGGTTGGAAACCCCTGCAGGTAACCTCCCCCTTAAAACTGGAGCCTCTCTAATGGTTTAAAGGGCTGAACAGTGACCAGGAAGATCTCCCACAGGCTTCTAGTTGTTAGTACAAAACACAACAGAAACCAGAACTCCAAATGTCTGCATGTTCCCATGTACCAGCACAAGACTGTGCCCACTGGCTTGACTCCTGCTGGGGAACTTCTCCTAGAGATAATGATGGCCTGGCTGGAAAACTTTAGAAACATCCATTTGATTTGTATTCATTTTCAGGGCACAGGGCAGAGTTTATAGCATTTTACTTTCCTATTTAAATAGCTCAACTGTTGTGTTTACAGCCTATTTTATCCAGATTGCAGATTAACAATTTAAAGTCTTCTGCTTGGCAAGCATATTTTCCCAACTGACCATAAACTCCTTGAGGGTTGAGAATCTAAGCTTTCTCCTTTGGAGTCCTGTGTACAGACAATATGGCACAGTACTTGGTGGAGGTCAGAGGGACAGAGGACAAAGTATTTGGAGGACCCCCCACCAACAGTCGCCCGAGCACACACATCATGCCCCAGCTTTGTGGCCTTCTTTGGGAGCAATTAAGTCTGAGATGAGATTTCCTCATCCTTAGATCCCTCTCTGGCCTCCCTACTTGTTGAGAAGATCAAATAAGATAATGCATGTGAAAGTATTGTGTAATCCAAGAACTGCCAGTGGCTGAAACGTAAGGAATCCTCAGAGACACACTTAGTAAGTACCTGATCGATTTTTAATGATAAGGTATTGTCTTCCCTCTTCCGTACAACCAGTCCCTTTAAGGATTTTCTTTCCTGGAATTTAATTTTATTTGAATAGTAAAGCCACTTCATGTCTTCCTGATAGTGTGTGTTTCACCCCATAGTCACCTTAAAATTTGATTGTAATCTAAGCAAACCAACCCCAAAAAGTCACAAAGCACACACTCACATCAATCACCCGCGACTCATGGGAACAAATACGTCCAGACCCCACTTCTATTTCAGAAGCTTTCTTGTGCTGCTATCAAACTGTGAAAACTGTGCCCTAAGGAGGGATTATGCATACTTTTGTGTCAAGGCACACTCTGTGGATACAGCAGTCCTAAGCCTGTATCATTGCTCTCTAAGTCCAGGCCAGCAGAGAATGTGAGAAATTTCACAGAGGCGACACTATAATTTGGCCTCTTAGAACACACCATTTATTTACAGTCTTTGTTCTGTATTTATTCTTAGCAAAGACAGCATGCTTGGCTATGACAAAGTTCTATAGGATACATTAGAAATCTTTCAAACACGGATCTATCTTACGTGCTTTTAGAAAATATTAAGTGTAGTTTTTGGATTCTTGCTCTCTTAACTAGAAAAACTAACAAACAAAAATCAAAATAAATAAGTCTTACATTACAGGGATGAGTTTACATGTGGTTCCCCATCTCATTCGGGAACCAAGTAACATGAAAATAAAGATATACGGATTTTATAAAATGGACAACTGACTCGGCTTAAGAACTGCATCTCTCTGAAACAGTTCAGTATTTATTTTCAAATGCTACTTATGAAACTATAGGAGTCTATTCTCTTCAATTCAACCAAAGTATGAGCCATTGGATTTGTGTACAGGTTTGAAGTGTGCTGTTAACATAGTGAACTTGGGCCAGTTTTGAATAATGCTGATAAATTTATTTATAAAGCCTCATTTAGGGGGCTGCCTTCCAGAGGAATTAATCAAGCTAAAGCACTTGTCTGTGTTAAATACTCCTGAAGATAGGAAAAAAAATAGCAAGTAAACAAAAAAAATTCCCAAACTTGTCATTGAACATTTAACAACTGTAAACATAAAGCCAGTCTTGTAAGCCTCTGTTTGTATTTGAGACAGTCTTACTGTGTAGCTCTGGCTAGCCTGGAACTCCCTTGGTGAACAAGACTGTTTTTAAACTTGTATCGATCTGCCCTCTATGTCTCTTTGCTGGGATTAGGGGCAGGCACTATCACCTCTGCCCTTTGTTTTTAGTACCAGAAAGGAAGCTAGGGCCTTGCATGTGCTAAGCATCCATTCGCAGCTCCAGGAGCTTTAGTTTTAGCAGATATTGTTAGTAGTCATATACTATATAGAAATACAGTTTAATGTTCAAACCTGATAGCAAGCTTATACGACTTTATTTTTGCCTAATTAATTCTATTTTCAACAGACATTTTTCTTTCTCAGTCTCAAAGCTTTCCCATGGCTCCCAAGGCTAAGAGGAAGTCAAGTTCCTTTTGCAGTCAGACCAGAAGGAAGATACCTAAGGGGAGACATGGTAGCTTTAAAATGTGCTGATTTATTAATGATTCTCTCCTTATCGCATATGGCGGTGCTGTGGGTGGAATTAGGAAGGCTGTCACTTCCAGTCTTCCTAATGGTTCTTGGTCCCTCTCTGTCCCAATGGTGTATGGGGAGTAGCAAAAACTATAGAGGTGGGCTGGAGAGATGGCTCAGTGGTTAAGAGCACTGACTGCTCTTCCAGAGGTCCTGAGTTCAATTCCCAGCAACCACATGGTGGCTCACAACCATCTGTAATGGGATCCAACGCCCTCTTCTGGTGTGTCTGAAGACAGCTACAGTGTACTTATATGAATAAAAAAAAATGAATAAATCTTTAAAAAAAAACTATAGAGGTGGGGCTGTCACACTGCAATATCAATAATAAAGGTTAGGGTTAGAGTTAGTGTCTACCAGGGAGAGATATGGTAACCCATGCATTTCAAGGTGAAAAGCTTCTTGTGCATGCAGGTTATTTACTTATTTACCCACTTCATATGTACTGCTAAATATTTTCTCAGAGTACATTTTGCCATATAGAACTATCGTTCACAGGCCTGTCAAAGTCTATACTAACTTACAGTCTAATCAAATTTATATGGTATCTAAAATAATTTAAGAAAACTAAATTAGAAGAGAGAAGTTGGGTAGAAGTTGTCTGACTTCAATAAACTTGAGTTTCTCCTTTTATTTTGTCTCTGGTAGAAACCATCACCTTTCCTAGCTAACTGGTATCATGGGAAGCATCTGGTTCACTTTTCAGATCCTTCATTGCTGCTGGGAACAAGTGTGCCGCTGTGGCATGAAGTGGAAGGTGTGACTGGGAACCAGACGAGAGAGAAAAGCCTTTCTTCACAAGCGATACACAGAAACGTAGCACCCAAAGAAAAAGATAAGTGATTTCACTGAGGAACATAAAGCTACATTTCATACGCAAGTTCCTGAAAGAGCCAAAACCGACTGTCACACAAGCCTTTCATGGAAGGTTTTCATTCCCTTAAAGAACAAACGCAAGACCAGTTGGATGGCTCAACAGGCAAAGGTGCCTGCTGCCAAGCTCGGTGACCCAAGTTCCATCCCTGGGACTCACCCAGCCAAACACTAGAACTGACATGATTCCCATAAATTGTCTTCTGATCTCATGCCCACAGGCATTTGAGCAAGTGTGTGTGCATCTTCACACACACACACACACACACACACACACACACACACACACAAAATGAAAAACCACAGCCAAGCATGGTAGGTCTTTAATGCCAGCATGTGGGAGACGAGGCAGATGGATCTTTTAGAGTTTGAGGCTAGCCTCATCTACATAGTGAGTTTCAGACCATTTAGTCAAGGCTACACAATGAGAGCTCCCTTGTGATCTCTCCCTCCCTCTCTCTCTCTCTCTCTCTCTCTCTCTCTCACACACACACACACACACACACACACACACACACACACACACACACGGTCCAGTGAGAGGACAACTAGGCATTAGCCTCTGAGGGTGACAGCTTATCTATGGTGCCATGCCTGTCCTCCTTCCTGCCTCTCTTTTCCTGACACTGTGTGACCACCCTGCTCACACTCTCGCCTCTGTGAACACTCCCATGTTTCTCCCACCATAATGGACTGGAACCTTAAACCAAATTAAAGCTCTCTTGAGTCAGGTTGCTTTTGTCCAGTATTTTTGTCATGGCTACAAGAAAAGCTGATATAGATAGCAAGTCACAATGTGTCCCAGCCATGGTTCCACCATTCCTGATGACTGGTTTCTCAGTAGAGAAAGCCAAGCACAAAAATAATAAATACATACTTCTTATAATTCACTCCCAGGTGGGTGGTTTGTTTTTTGGGTTTGTTTTTGTTTTTGTTTTGTTTTGTTGAGACAAGGTCTCACAGCAAAGCCCAAACTGGCCTTGAACTCATATCAATCCTCCTGCCTCATCACACAGAGTTCTGGTATTACAGACAATAATGGTTCTAGGTAGACTTTGGAATTCTGGGATGGAAGTGTAACTTCTTCCTCCCTTAGGTAGACCTGGAAAGAAACCTAGGCTTTAAGGGAAGTACGTCTCAGCTCTATAGAAGAGTGTGGGTCAGGCAGGGGTATTTGTAGCTGTCTGTAAAAGACATTGAAAGAAATAAGGGCAATGAACTTCCCTAACTATCAAACGCCCCTGATGATCTTACATGTCATGGCTGAAAAACTAAAATTATATTTGTTCCTCAGCATACTGATGGCAAATTTCTGAGACAAAGGTACATGGGTAGATTGCTTATTCAAGACCAAACCAAATCAAACCAAACCACCACCAACAACAAAAACTTTAATGGGAAACTGTTTTAAAGATAATACCTGGGAAAATAAATGATCATGTCAATAAATCTCAAGAAGGGAAAGAAGAATCAATAATATCTAAAAATGAATAAACCTAAGATGGAAGGAACATGAATAAATACACCTTGGAATGAGTTTCTCTTTCAAAAAATCTGCAAGACTGAGCTAAAAAAAAAAAAGATATGCTGAAGGAAATTATCTCAAGAAAGTAACAAGAAAAGATAGGAAATAGGTGATGGGGGTGGGTGTATGCCAATCCAATCCAAAAGTGGGGGTGGTGCATTGAGGTCAGGGGCAGGGCCACACACGCGGACTAGGAACCAATGATGGAGGTTCCAGGTAAAGCTTGCTAGTGTTACACCAAACACATCTGCCTTGGTTTAATTCAACGAGGCAACGTGTTTGGATTTACGAATAATAGTTCCTCCATTGACCTTCCCTGTTTTTCTTTGCAGTGCTGAGGACTGAACTCCGGGGCTGTGAATGCTGGCAAACACCCCACCCCGGAATTACAACCCAGCCCCTCCAGTTTGCTTCAATTCGAGATCAGGGATGTAGTGGGTGGGGCCTGCTGAACTAGAAGCTTCTCCAGTTGATAGTCCTCTTTCTTCACTTCCTGTTTGGAATACGTATGTGAGAGCTGCGACCGAATGCGCCATCTCACAACTATGACTTGATAAACGATAGCAGAATAGGAAGACAGACAACCACATCTGAGATGATCGGGAAAGACAGACAACTGCATCTCAGACGATCGGGGGAGACAGACAATTGCACCCCAGACGATCCTGGAGCCAATAAACCACCCCCAGACCTTCTCTCTCCAAATATCTTCACGTTTGAGAAGAATGTATTTCTATTTATTAGCTCACCATTCTCTGGTTATTTTTTTATAGGCATGGGAGCCTAATTCCCGTGGAATAAATACAAACATGAAAAAGGTGTTAGAAATTGGAAGCTCTTTGCACCGCAAACAAAGCACAAAATTAAAAGGGGAAATCAAAAGCCAAGAAGTGTGTGTTGACTCAGACGATCACGATGGCAGGCTTGGATGTCCTCCTGGCATAACTCTCTAGAATAGGACATGAAAAACACACAAAGGTGGCCAGGACTATAGACTCCAAAGCTCATTGTCTGCACAGAGACAAATACATGTTTTTGATTAGCAAATAACATATAAACCTCAATTTTATATATGAGAAGAGAATAGGCAACATTTTATGGAGTGTTTATAAAATCAATATACTTGGCAAGAAAAGATGAAAGAATGCCGTGGTACAGGGAGTAGAAGAAGGGGCAAAGTGGTCCAACCTTTCTGTGATTGAGGGGAATTATTAATATAGAACAGTGATAAACTTTATCACCATTCTCCCCAGATTAGTGTTTTCCAGCCTGATGCTAGTGTGGCCTGTCACTAGCTCTGTGTAGAAAAACCAGGCCGTCAGATGGTTGTCACTTCTCCATACTGAAAGGGCCAGCAGCAGGCAGGAAGGTCTGCATTTCTCAGATTGGCCCCAACTGAGCCAGGAACACAGGCTCTACCACAGAGTTCAAGAGCACCAAAAGAATGTTAAATGGATGGATTGTTACTCACAGGAAAAGAAACAGGCATCATGCTTCCAATTATTCTTCACTGCAGACAACAACTAGCTGTTTCTGCTGGCTGGCGCAGTCTCTGCTCGGGGGCACTGCTGAGGAAACCCTGATGAAGAGGGATGAATGTGGCCAGTGAATTTTTTTTGACACAGCCCCAGCTATATTTTTGCTTATTGCTGGCAAGTGAACATGGGGGAGACAATGGACAAAACCGTTGTAAAGAAGGCTTAGAAGACAAGAAGTCTTTATAGCCCCTCACAAATCGAAACATTTTATACCAACGACCATCATCTCGGACACAGCACAGGCTTTCTTAGCTTAGCTGTTGGTTAGAAGGAGAAATGCTAACGACATTTTCCCAAGAGAAGAACATGCAACATTTGTATTACAAACTTTAAATTCTGAAGCATTTACAACACTTAAAAATAGGTAAATAAAGCTGGGTATGCTGGAATGCACCTACAGTCACCACTAGCTGGAAATCAGGAGGATTGCTTGAGTCCAGGAGTTCAAGGTTAGACAGGACAATACAGTGAGACCCCATCTCAAAAACCACTGTGATGACTACCAACAATGATAGGTAAAGACAAGATAATAGTGACATATATAAATCCCCTATTTTATGATAATGTGAATTTATTAAGAATCCTATACATTCACTGTATGTCCTATTCATTTATTTCATATAATTAAACTACAAACATTTGTGTTATAAGTATTTAATTCCCTGACCAAATTAAGTCTAACAAAAATATCAATTATATAGAAAAGTAAGTTTTGCTTCAGAACTCATAAGACAAGCACAAATGAAGTGAAGACAGTAAGTCCCTCAACTCATTTTAGGTCACTAGGCAGAAGCTGGCTGATGTCATCTAGCAATGAATGGGATGTTTGTTTTGTTGCTTCTGGGGACGTGGAACTACAGCAGCCTTCTTCCAGGAAGCCTGTGCTTTGCATATAGCTGTATGCTCTATCTTAAACACGTGGATATATAAATAGAAGAGCTAAAGGCACAAGGTTGTTGGGCTTTTTGGGAGGATGGGTCCAAAATGTTTCCTATCCAGCCCTTCTTAATTTTTCTTTACATTGTCCTATGATATCTCATCTAATGTTTTTAAAAATGATATTGCAAACTCACAATAATTTCTGCACTTATAAAGTTCCTTTCCCAAGTCACATCTGTAATCCCAGTAGTTGGGTGGCTGAGGCAGTAAGATTACTGTGAGTTCAAGTTCAAGGCTAGCCAGGACTACATAGCAAGATTTTGTCAAAAAAGAAGGGAAAGGAGGAGGAGAAGAGAGAGAGAGAGAGACAGAGAGAGAGAGAGAAAGAGAGAGAGAAAGAGAGAGAGAGACAGAGGGAGAGAAAGAGAGAGAGAGAGAGAGAGAGAGAGAGAGAGAGAGAGAGAGAGAGAGAGAAGAAAAAGAATGGAAGAAGGAAAGAAGGGAGAGAGGAGTGGCAAGGGTAGATGAAGAGGGAGGAAGGGAAGGAGGAAAAAATAAAACAACTAGAGGACATCCCCCCCCAGTGTTTTATTAAGCTTGTGTTATTTACAGAAAAGTTCACATAGCAGGATAGCATCAGATTCAAGAGAAAGCTTTTCCCAGTTTCCTTCTTTTGCACACAGGTGAGACAACTCTCCTTCTTGCCCCCCCATGCACCCTTATACACACACACACACACACACACACACACACGCACACGCACGGGCGCGCGCACACACACAACTGGAAAGCAAAGCAGTAGGTGTTAGTGTACACCCTTTAGAATTTACATGGGGTCTATTTACCAGGGAGGGAAGCGGGATGGAGAAGAGAGACAGGGGCTAAAGAGCGAGACAAGAGATGAGGCCAGGCCTGCGCGGAATGGATTATTCTGGAAGCATAGACTGTTCTCTGTAGCCCTACTGATGAGTACTGTCCGTTTGTCTCAGCTTGGCTAGTACTAGTGTTGACAGATTGAATTCTCATTTCTTATCAAGATCATGATGAGTAGTATGTGAGAATGATGCTCGGTTTTGTTTTCTATTTTTGAGATAGGCTCTTGCTGTGTAACCCAGCCTTTAAACTCAAAATCCCCGCTGGCTCTACTTCCCACATGCTAGGATTCCAGGGATGCATCACCATACCAGGTTTTGTTTGTTTGTTTGTTTGTTTTTTGCTTTGTTTTTGAGTATGTAAGTGTGTGGCTAAAAATGTTTTGTGGGGGCACATCTATGCTCCTGCACATGGAAGCCCAAAGATGTCACTGACATCAGGAGCCTTGTGCTCCACTTAGTCATTGAGGCAGGGCTCTCCACTGAACTCAGAGTTCATCAATATGTCTTGTCTAGCTAGCCAGCCTGTTGTGGGAATCCCTTTCCTCTGCCTTCCTGGCATCTGGAATTAAAGGTGGGCTTTTATGCCTACCTGGCACTTACATGGATGCTGGAGATTGACTTCCAGTCTTTACGCTTGCTTGCTTGATGCATGATTGACCTGCTGAACGTCTCCTCAGCCCCACACCTAGCCGTTTGCTTGTTTGGGATACTGGATATCTGAACCAGGGTTCCTTGACAGAAAATATGTTAATCTTTAGCCTCCAACTACATGAAAATTGTTAGAAACATCTAAGGATCATTGTGTATTGTGAAGAATGTCTTTGTAAGTCAGGCCTACACGTGTCTAACCAGGCAGGGTGAAGTCTCATCTGCATCCCTGCCTTCTCTTAACACAGAGGGGCCACATACCTCCTGTCGTCCTTGTAAGTGGTGGGAAGACGAGGTGGAAAGGTCTTTTAACTGATGATAAAGAATATAGCAGAATGGAATATGGAACCATAGGAATCAGGAATCTCTTCCCACGTGGTTTTGAAAATTTCCTCATTTTTTCTTGTTCCTATTTGTTTTCCTGACACCAAGCATGAAAACTCAGCTCTGTCCATGAAGAATTCCACCCATCAGCCAAATGAGGAGGTGAGTGCCTTTAATCAGGAGAGGCAGAGGAGACAGAAGAGGCAGAGGCAGAGGCAATAGAGGAGGCAGAGGCAGAGGCAGGGGCAGAGACAGGGGCAGTAGAGGAGGCAGAGGCAGAAAGATTTCTGTGAATTCAAGGCCAGTTTGGTCTACACAGTAAGTTCCAGCCCAACAAAGAACACATAGTTGAGACCCTATCTCAAAGTTGTTTTTTTTTTTTTCATCTGTCACGCTACAACAGACACCTTGGGATTGTGTGGCAGGAAGTGTAGACTGATGAGGAAACTGAGGACTAAATGTCCTCACGATGCCTGGAAGAGGAGGGAAGTGAAAAGCAACAAGCACCTCTCGCTGTCATACACATATATACATATGAAATACATATATTTCTGTATACTTCAAATAGCATTCCTGGTTACAGGATCATTTTAGGAGTTAAAGCCTGTGACTTACTAAGCATCACTCAGCATCAAGACTCTCTGGTGTGCCCTTTTTCACTCTTAGTTATGAAGGAAGTTACCTCACCTAGAATCTAGCCCCTGAGAATGAGTCGCCATGTCTAAGGGTCAGTCCGATAGAGCGCTGTCCCCTCACATAGGATACTCTTGTCTGCCAGATACTTACCATCCCAAGGGAGCCACAGAGTTTTGTTCCATTGTGTCTGTTGTACAAACACAAACACGTCTGTGAATACGCACAAAACTCAGTGCATATAGTGTCTGCAATGTGCTATAATTATAAGCAAATGTTTAAGAAAGCGATTTGTCAATCGATCCAAAGCAAGAAGAAATGATGCATCACGGGCTGTCATTCTTTAAAAATCAAGTCATCATTATTCAACTTTAAAACAATCGACTCAGTCTTTTCTCATCTACTGGGGTTGGGGACCGAACACTCTCTTTTACATTTCAATCTTTCATTGGAGATGTCACATGATACATAAGGACTTACAGTGAAATTAATATCAAGGATCGAGTACAAGCAGCTGTGCCCCACTGGATCTGACAGCACGTCTGTTCTTTAGCTTGCTGACAAGTACAGCAATGGGTTCCAAGATGCGGTCTCTGTAGGAGATGCCGCCATGGCCTTCCGTGTTGCACAAGACGGGTGCTTCCTATCTCATTTGCTGGGACTTCAGGATTCCTGCTAATAAATGAATACTTGTGCAGCCAGATACTCATCCCTGACAAACCTTCCACAGCTCAGCACTCCTGGTCAGAGACAAAGGACTCGGGCTCCTGAGCTGACTCAGTTCCTCTTCAGCTCCAAGCTACCAAACTGCCATGTCCTTTCTCTGTTGGTCTGTCCTCTCTGTCACTCGATACTCCATACATACACCCTGGGGACTGCCACCTGGAAGCACTTTCTCCAGCTGTTCTACCCTCATATAGCCCCTTCCTTCACAGCTACAAGTCTTAACTATTTTTTAAAATAATCTTTTTAAAATTATAATAAATTAGGAATGAATATATCCTCTCTGAAAAAGGTTCAAACAACATAAATATATCCATGTACATACATACAGAAACAATTGAAAGTTAAAAAAACAAACAAACCTGAAAGTCACTATGAATGTCACCTTTTGCTTCCTTTTCCGAGCACCCGCCAAGATAGCTGAAGTGGAACAGAAGAAGAAGCGGACCTTCCGCAAGTTCACCTATCGTGGCGTGGACCTCGACCAGCTGCTGGACATGTCCTATGAGCAGCTGATGCAGTTGTACAGCGCCCGCCAGAGACAGCGCCTGATCTGCACCTCGGCCTGCGGCAGAAGCAGCACTCCCTGCTCAAGTGCTTGAGAAAGGCCAAGAAAGAGGCACCGCCCATAGAGAAGCCCGAGGTGGTCAAGACCCACCTGAGGGACATGATCATTCTGCCTGAGATGCTCGGCAGCATGGTGGGCGTGTACAATGGCAAGACCTTCAACCAGGTGGAGATCAAACCAGAGATGATCGGACACTACCTGGGCAAGTTCTCCATCACCTACAAGCCTGTGAAGCACAGCCGGCCCCGTATTGGTGCCACCCACTCCTCCCGGTTCATCCCCCTCAAGTAGCCAAGGCCAATAAAGACTGGTGGTTTTGAAAAAAAGAAAAAAGAAAAAAAATGTCACCTTTCTTCTCCACCACCAACTACCACATGCGTGTGCACACACA